TTGAACTTGCAAAGATACCTTAATACGAAAACGTACAAATATTTTTTCATTACATAGGTACCTGTATTTGAACTTTGTAATCGTCATAATTATTTAATTTTAATAGTTTAATAAAATTATAGTTTCAAAGTGAAGCCAAGGTCATCACGTGTCGGTAATCATCCACCTGTTTCGAAGATATTGCGGGTGCTAAGAGCAATTGCGGTTGTTTTTTTTTTAAATTGACACTTAATTGCTAGCTGGATGTATATTGTCTCCATGGTCACGGTATACTTGAGTATATACTCCCCCTACATTCGATGCCCCTTAAGTTACTACCTTTTCTGGGCACGTTATCAATGAGAAATTCAATTATTATTCTTTTTTTTTTTTGATTTTTGAATTTGGAAATGTCATAGTTCTTTGCTACGTTGCATGAAGAGTACATGTTCATGTAATTTGCTGCCACCTGAATGCTGAAAATCAGAAAAATAGCTTTACAAGAGAGAGAGAACACTGTATATTATTTGAAATTAAAATCGCTACAACCGGCCCATAGAAAACAATTTGAGTATGGAGAGGGGTGGGGGGCTCATCGAAATAAAACAATTAAAAAAAAAACATCTGGCGATATTATCTTAATTTCATCTAATTAATCATGCGTGCGAGTTTACAGTTATTGAATTCTTGTTTTGTTTGTTTTCTTTCTTGATTTATTTATTTTTAAACATTTAGAATTTTGTTTGTTAACATGCCGCTCCAGTATGTACATGTATGTAGTTGGGGGGGGGGGGGGGGTCATGAACCAGTAAGAAACACAAACTATTCAAATGATCATTTATTTGAAAACAGCTTAAAAAATAATATAATCTCATCAGTGGACCAGTTATTAGTTTTTGTTTGTTTGTTTTTGTTTTTTTTTTTTATGTCTTCCGTTAAACTCGCCTTATAAAACAATGATTTATAGCAGGGAAGTAATTTATAAATGATCTGGAAAACGAAACTCAAGTTATAAGTCGTACTGTATGAAAATTTTTAGTGATTATCACGACCTACATATAAATGTAATGGACGACAACCTAGCTTAAATGTAACCTGCTATATATGAAAACTTATTATTTTACGTGTACAGTATGTCTCAGCTATTTCATAGATAAGATCATAATTCAGTTGTTTGTCTTTCAAACATTTAAATTCCGATTTAGCAATTGCAATTACAATTGGAAGTTCCAACTTATTTTAAAACGCATGAATAATGTAAACAGATGAATTAGAAAGCTTTTTTTAAAATTAAGATACTCTTATCAATTTCACTCCATCCGATACATCAAAAATAAATTTAACACCTTTTCTTCTTCTTTTTCTTTCGAGATATACTTAGCTTGTAAGTTAAGAAAAATAAGAGTGATAATTCTACGTTGAATGTACGGTGAAATTCTTGAAAATTTATCAACGTTCTCCATATTGTCACTTACAGGTACATGTTTCGATCGCCATAAAAACAATAATGATCGATTTCACTACTGTATTTGGAATATACAAGGGGCGGGGCTTACTGGCGGCAAGATTAAAGCGGGGACTGCTTCACGCATGAGTGCGTAAAGCGAACCCGGAAAGCGAACGCCGGGTTCGCTCTAGCGGACCCAGAGCTGACCCCGAGCGAACGCAGAGCGAACCCGAAGCGCACCCAGAGCGGTCCCAAATTTTCTGAAAGCGGACCCGCAGCGGACCCCAAGCGAACCCAGAAGCGAACCCGGGGTGCGCTTTGGGTTCGCTCTGGTGTTAGGTTGTGTCCGGTCGGTACTGTAAGGATCAGATCAAAGCTTTTTGAGCAGCTCTATTTAGTTATTATACCGTTAATGAAAAGTCATTTATATATGCTAATATGAATCTGTACAACATGCAGAATCTGTTATGGGCCTAGTGTGTCCTAAGACATATTTTGTTTAAAAAAAAAAGTAATAAATAAATAAAGAAAAAAATTGCACAAACCACAGAGGTGTTTGGATATAATAGCTGCCATTCCTGAGGAAGTTTCTAGCTACATGTATAGTTTCAATTAGAAAAAAAAATTGTCCTGTATATTAAGAACTTTTTAATTATTCAGAGATATCTTTCAGTGGAAGATTTTTAGGCCACCTGAGTCACTTAGGTGACCTACTGCTATCTGTTTCAACCAGCATCGTGTGTTGTGCATTAACATTTTCAGTTTCTTCTCTGGAACTGCTGAACCAATTTCAACGAATTTTAGCATATAACATCAATGGGTGAAGGGGAACAAAAAATTTCAATTTAATGCCCCCCCCCTCCCCGGGTCCAAGGGGTGGGGCTTAAACAATTAAAATTAATGCAATCTTTATAGATCTTCTTCTTCACTCCTTGACATTAAGCAGTCAAACTATTGGCATGATTGTAATAAGCATTGAGCCCTCTACCAAAATTGTGAAATTCATGGCCCCTGGGTCGAGGTTCTGGTGTTAAGGTGGTGTTCTATACATTACGTGGTGAAAATGCATTATTCCTTTGAAAATCTTTTTTGCTACGGGGTATTAAGCAAACAAAGTAATTGGTTATAATGAGCAAGGGGGGGCTCTTTTAAAATTGGGAAATTCCTGGGTCACTGGGTCAGGCTTTCTGGTGTTAGAGCAGTTTTTTATTGAATGATTATATAGTGCAAATACCAGTATATAAATTCTTTGAAAACTTATTTGCATCTGGGTATTTAGCAGATAAACTAAGTGCATAATTATGGTGAGCAAGGGTGCCTCTACCAAAATTATGAAATTGCTGGCCCCTGGGTTGGGGGCTCTGATGTTAGGGCAGGGTTCTATTGATTACATAGTGAAAATTCATTAATTCTTTGAAAATCTTCTCTGCTCAGTGTTGAATAATACTAAGGTGACCTTTGAGGCCCTTGGGCCTCTTGTTTAATTATATCAGTTAATTCTAATGAAGACACATAATATTTGAGCTATAAACTTGTAAGAGGATCTTTGATAACCTGCTTAGGTTAAGCTCTGTTATTCCTTAGTGAATGACTATTAATTGGTGAAATATTGCACTTAATATAATGAATGTACTTTATAAATAAGGGCTTTATGATAATGCCCCCCCCCCCCAATAAAAAGTAATTAATGCCACATGTATTATAAAGTATTTTTATACACATATTTTTTTCCAGAATGCTGGTCGATATGTATTCCATAATGATTGACAGTGTGCTAGAGGGAATTAAACAGTATTCAAAGACACTCAGTGTGCACAAGGTAGAATATAACGTTTTCTTTTTCTGTCACCTGGAACTGAAGCTTATGTAGTTAAAACAATGTCAGTAAAATATCGTATATTTTGATCCTTGATATACATGGTACTGTATAAGATTGTGTGGTATTATACGTATATGCAGTGTAGTAAAAAGTGTTCAAGGTCACTAGATATTCTATGTTTTCATTGTAGACTCGTGCCAGAGTGGTGGATCAGATTTGTGAGGGGTGTAAGGCCTACCCTGTTCTTACCAAATATATTCAGAGAAGGTGAGTTAGTATGTAACATTTAAAGAAAAAATCATAACTTTTGATTGCTTTGAACAATATTTAAGCATCTCATTTCCTATGAAAAAAAACACTTAATATACTAATTATACACAAATTATTTAAGAGTTTTGTATCACAACTGCATAAATCAATTTTTCAGATCAGATATTGTGTTCACTTTGGAAGCTTATGATCAGGATGGCAGGTAAATTAAAATCTGTTCAAATATTTTTCTCTTGGGCCATATTTAATGACATAATAAAATTTACTTGAAGCAACATTAGTTTTCAAGAGATCAGAATTATTCAGAAAATTACATCCATATAGAGTAAAGAATAAAACAGTAAAGCTTTATATACAATGTACAATCAAACCTTATTGTCTTGACTTGATGGGACCAAGGAAAAACTTGGAGATATTCTAGGATTCAAGATATCAAGGGTAAAATACTTAAAGAGTAAGTTGTTGGGATTTCCAAATCACTTCGACATGTCCATGGTATTGGAGATATCAGATTTAAAGATACCAAAGTTTAACTGTACTAGTAAAATTGATTTGGAAAATCGGATACTTTAGCTGCACTATATGCTCCTTCAAATAAGTAAATTTGATTTTACTATAATTACAGGAGTCAACCAGTGGAGGAGGGAAGTCGTAGCCTCTTGTTGAAGTCAGCTGGTGTTTGTCTCTATGATGTACCCAGTACACTCATTCCAGGGAAAACGCTGGGCTCTCTTGTTTTCTCTGAAATTTTCCAGGACTCGGTCATCTCTGTACAGAAAGAAGGTAATGTAATCAGCAGACAGTGACAGGATAGTTTTGGTAAAAGTTCAACTTGTATCCATTTTTTTATTTAATGTAAAAAACACATCTAAGCTTTGTATTAAAATAAATTTTAGTATAAAAGCCTGCTTTAAAGTTGATTTTTACTGGCTCAAATGCTTGTAGATTCTTGGAAATCATCCAATTTAGATTTGTAGCTCTTCATTTTTTTTTTGTTATAAATATTATATACATGTACTATCACTATACTAAAAGCATAATCTTTGCAAAATCAGATGTGGAAAATTTATAAAAGTGACAGTAAGATCAATGTAAAAAATAAATTGATTTATACAGCACATTCAGTTTTGATTCATACATACAATGTATGTGCTTGTATATATGCAAACATTGTACATGTGCACTGTATTTTGAACTTTCTAGCCTCTGAAATCTATACATTCTTGTATAGATGTATGTTTGGCTATCTTTGTAGATGGGACTCTAGAACTTAGTGGAGAGAGCTTAATTCTAACTTCCATCATACCTAGGTACAGGAGCTGGCCAGTAAGTATAGTGACTACATTATTATGCACAAAACTCTATTAACTGTAGATATGATTTGGTACATTAACACCATTAATATCTTGGTGGATATGCACTTACCTACTTTGAGTATGTTGACTTTTATTCGACTTACAATTTTTTAGGTTTCAAAATGTAAATTTTAATAGAAAGATCTAGAATGAAATTTAACCAAAAGATTTTTTTTTTCAATTCAAAGCTTGCTAGTAAGGTGGAGCCCACTGGATTTCTACATAACCTTACAAAGTATGGCCGCCTCTTGTGTCCAGGAGAAACGTTTAGAGTTTGTACAGATCAAAGTCTCACACTGCCAGCCACTGAGGGTAAGCATTAAATGTTATACTTAAATCAGAAGATGTTGAATTTAAAGCAAAGCATGTTTCAAAATTGAGGAAAAGAATAATTATTACTGTGAATTTATCTAATGAAAAAAGCATGTAAGTGTTAAATGTCATTTAGAAGTGCTTGGAAAAAAATTAATGATTCCAGTTCAATTTATTATGACAAAGTTTGAAGTAGAGGGACTGTAAAATTTAACATTTTATGGTAACATTTGTTGCAGTGGAACTCTTTGCCTACGAGGCTGCCATAGTCCTTGTCTTTCAGAGAGCCAACATTTTGCTTCTGGATAAAGATAATATTAAATCAATGCAGATGTATGTTGGAGTAAGTATAGATGATTGATGACATGTTTTAAATAATGAAGCAGGCTATGAACAATTATTACTTCATAATCAAAATACTTTTGATACTGACACAGTTTTTATAGAAGCATGAATTGGAGAAAAACCCAAATATTTTGTCAAGAGCCTTGAAATACTGCATTTTTTTCTTATGTGGGAACTAGAGCTCAATGTTACGTGGAATATATGATGAAATGGTAAATTGTTTTGACAGGAATCTTCAGATGCTATTTCTGTACTTATGGTGGAAGTTTTCTCATCCACAAGTATCCCAGCATTCCTTCAGTCAGAGAACCATATTCTGTACATCTCAATGTTCCCGAAGTCTAAAGCCAAATTAACTCTTTTCCAAGAGGTAGGTATTGATTTTGAGGGGGAAACAAATAAGTTTTTTTGTTTTTAAAAAAGGTATGATTATGAGCTAAAGACTAGCAAATTTGACCATTTTACCTTAACTTGTAGATACCATTTATAAAACAAGCAAAAATCTGAATGGAATGGATGGAATTGTTACCACTGAATGAAGTGAAATTTTTCTTTCCTGTGTGATTAAATATTTAAAAAAATCTGACTAATTTTTTTTCTTTCTTTTAAAGGTATTACCTGAGTGGAAGTCACATGACAGTTTGCCACATGTGGACCCCACAGAGAGCATCCCAGAATCCTTCCAACAAATGTATGTACTAAAAGCATGTAACTACATGAAAAATTATTTCAAGCAAGTGATAAGTATTTTTTTTTTAAAAATTTAAGGTACATTTTTTATGAACTGTAAATGATTTTATTTAAATATTCCCCCTCCCTTGCTTGAAAAGTGGTAGGGGTATACATGTATAGTGACGGGGATGACCATCGATCCATTACACTTGGGGGTACCCATCTCTTATTCATAACTCAGTGATGACTCTGTTCCGATATTTAGCGGAATTCCCCTAATTTGAATCCAAGAATCCGATATTAACGAGTTTTTTTCCGATATTTCAGTACTTTCTATTTTTGCAGCAACCCGTTTCCATTGTAGTCCATGTAAAAAAAAAATCAAATAGTTTTGTCCGTGTTTTATCTAGTTTGCACCATCCAGAGGTTTGCTTTTATCTCCAAGTAAGGTAAACACAAACGTAGTAATTAATGATTCAGACTTTCTTTCAGTGCCACAGCTTTTCATTCAGCCTGGTCAGGATGTGAGTGAAAGTTGTTGAACTGTCACACTTCAATTTTCGCCACTCATTTAAACTTACTTTGGGATTGCTAAAGCCCATATTTCGTCAGCCCCTCAACCCCCGAACTTTTTCAGATATTTTGGCCAATTCACAGAATCATCACTGATAACTCCTCCTAAACCACTGAATAAAATTTAATGAGACTTTCACAGTACCATTGTGCATCACCTATTTTGCATTTGGATTAGACACTTCAGATATTTGGGGTTTCCTATAGCAAAACATGGACACTGCCATTCTTTCTATAATATTATGGGTACCCATTTCTTATCTGCAAACTCCTCCTATACCACTGAATAAAATTTAATGAGACTTTAACAGAATCTTTTATTACATAGTGCCATTGTGCACCTCCTATTTTACGTTTTGATTGGACAGATATTTGGGATTTCCCATAGTAAAACATGGACTTTGCAGATGTACTCACATTTGGGGGGGGGGGGGTATCATTTTATGAGATCATTGCTTAAAATCACTTTAATTTCTTTTTGTATTTTCAATTTCTGTTATTTTCTAAAAGAATTTATTATAGATAGCAACACATGAAAAAGCATATGCAGCCTTAAGCTATTAAAGCTTATAAATTTTATTTTTAAATTAGTGCCAAGCAATTACAACTAGAATTTGACAGCGAGCATCATCCAACGACAGCTTATCATCACATCAGAGGAAAATTCTCTAATCTCGACAGGTATCTCATTCTGTTAGATATATATCATAATATGTACATATGCAGTAGGTGTACTATACATGTTTTTCTTTTAGCATAATCAATGTTAAGCAAAGCACAGACTTATTATATACACATTCATCAATCAATATTTACTATTGATTTTATTTTGTGTTAATTATGGCACTAATGACTATTCAAATGTGATTTGTAGTTTGAAATGTAAATGTGATTTAAAATCACAAAATGTTTTTTATTTTTGATAAGTCATTGAAAAGTGAAAATGAATTAAGAGGTTATACTATGTATATTTACTAACATTTCAGGTAATACATGTATCTACAACTATAATTGAGTATATACCATGTATAAAGGTCTTCATGAAAGAACAATTTCTATAGTATTAGACTAGACTAGAATCAGTCTCGGAGAAAATGAAATGCTTGTAATTGCAGGTGTCAAAATACATATTTAATTTTTTTTTATATTTCCAGATTCATGACTCATTTTAGTGTTAGTAATGTGACCTCACTTCCTATAACATCATTACCCATCATGCTTCAGGAGGCTGAAGATGTGGGAACTAGTCTAGAGGAAGACAGGGTAACCAACGAAACATTCCATGGGGTATGTGATATTTAGTCACTGATTCAATTATATTTTTGGAAGAAGTGATATGTTTTTTGGAGCAAGTAGAAATTGTACCGGTATTTCTGAATTTGTTGTGCAGTAAAACTCCGTTATAGTGAAGTACTGGGGACCTGTAAATTTATACTTTGCTCTTTCTGTAAGTTGTTAAATCCGTTAAACAAATTCGTTAAAAATATTATATAACGAATGTACAATATACATGTTTTCCTTCGAGTAAGACTACAGAAATGTTCAGGAAAGTATTAAATACAAAAATTACCTTAGATTACGGCAGTTTTTAGGTGAAATAAACTTCAAATATGAATACTTACAAAAAAAAATGTTAGTTCATCAATTTAAATTTTACTTGAAAATTTGCCATAAAAGATGTAAATATTATTTTGTTATTTTTAATCTCTATGGAACACAAAATCAGTTTGCTATATCTGTTAATTCGTTACCCCAGAATTCATAAATTGTAAAATTTTGCAAGAAATTGTTATGAATTTCAACAGGGATCAAAAAAACTTTTCTCTATCCATAAATTTGCTATATGCCCATGTGTGTATTAAATGAGATTTACTTTATTTTACAGATTACTGTGACAGTGATCGGGGGAATTCCAGGAAGCCATAAAGAACAGCTGTGTGACACATTACTGTATCTCACAGAAGGTCACATCAGGTCAGAGAATCCATCCTCCACTGTACATGTATATTTTGGGGTTTTTTAAATCATCGTTTCTAGTAAAATTTAACAAAGGTAAATCTTCCATCTGGAATCCATTTCTCTCCGATCATTGTATGAATGTGGTCATGTGCTAGCAAATTCATACACATTTGCATGTCAGTACACCTACGCTGAAATATTTCTTGACACAAAGTAAACTATTATACAACAGATGGACAGTATTGAGGCAAGGAACTGGGGACACAAAATCCCTAATCAACGGTGAATTACAGAACACACTGTCTAAAATGTGGAATTCAATGAGAAGACGACTCAGTTCATCGGAGACCAGTAATAGACTTCTCCTTGTCACTCCAGGGTAAGTTTACCAATCTACATATACCATTAAAATCAAGGAAAATTAACATGCTTTTTTAAATGTTGTATCATTAAACATGTTAGACACAGTTGTATTTTTCAGTTATAGCCTTTGCAATATTCTTACAATTGTCAACATACATTTTCATTCGAAGTTTCAACAGCTTCAACTTTGACAATTCCATAATCTTATCATAATGGCTACTGTTCGAAGAAATGCTACACATACATTCATTTAAATGTTATTTTTAAAGGCAGTGAAGGAAAACTACTTTTTTGGCATAACATTTCCACCATAAGATTTTAAAATCAGTAACCACATATATTGGAAGGATGGCATATTTTTTGTTGTACCAATAAATTTTGCAGCTAGGGAATAAATTATAATTGTGCTTTTTATGTGTTCTGTCACGTATTTGACTAACACATTGTACTTTTTCATGGTTTAGGTTTACTGATATAATAGATGTGTTATGTGCCATTTTGAATCATTCCAATCCAGATGTACAGCAGCATGTCCGTATTGGTAAGAGAATAAAAATCTCTTCTGGATTTTGTGACCAGCTGTCAAATCAGTTTAAAAGTGATAAGACAAATATTAAAATAAATAAATTAACCTATTCAGACAAAATGAATGATGATTTTTTTTGTCTTGTATTGCCAGGGTCTGTTACGGTTTGCATTGATCCCTTCATTTCATTCATGGAACACAGGTGAGACTGACTGACTTGCGGAAATCTGTTGTGAAATACTTTATAAATTATTTCTGCGTCGGGGGATTTGTTGGAGAATATACTCTGATAGTCGAGAGTTTTGTTGGCAAATGAAAATTGAGTCTAAAAGGCAAGGTTTTTATTTGCCAACAAAATATCAAGACTGAGGGGTATATTCTCCAGCAATTCTGATGACAAAGGAATTATTTCTATTCTGCTAGAATGTATACTTAAACTTCAATATAAAGAAAGGCAGAAGCTAGAATTGGTCTTCATCAGAAGTGTCTTAGGATGTCACTATTGCTCTTGTTCATTTGTATCTCAAGCATTAGAAAAGGTGTGATGTAATCGAACCCAAAGTAAACTTTTCCCACCAATTTTGTGGCACAACTAAAAGATACCTCTATCCTTTTCCTAGTGAATGCAATCAAAATAAGAGGAAACTGATTTAAATTTTTTGATAGTTTGTTGATGACATTTGCAATTTATTTGAAAATAATGGCCATGGCATCTCTTTGTTCTTTGCGATAACTGTAGTAGAATTTGAAATATATCAAGTAGAAATTGACTTAATTTTATTAACTTTTTAGGATAACATTCCCAAACCTACTGAACCAGTGTGCTCAAGGCTTTGTCAACAACATTCTGATTACCTCAGCTACCTCCATACAACAGGTATGTCTCACTTCATCACACCTACGCACAACATGCGTTTATGTTTCCTACAAGTACAGATGAAGCCAGCCAAGATATATATCAAGTACGCTCTTTATTACTCTTCATGCAGAAGAGATAACAAGAAAAAAGATTCTTTGCATTAATTTTTTTTTAAAATCCAAACATTGATAAACTCTCCAGATCCCAATACAGGTCAACTTCAGTGTCTTGACATTGGACATGTAGGTGGGACTATCGGAAAATGCTGAGATTTCCAGGGTGTCAAGATATCAGAGTTGAGCCTTAAAACTTGAATTGTGTATAGGCTTACCTGAAAGCATGTTTATCACTAAAGAAAGATTATCGGGTATTTAATTTCTTCAAAACTTTGGGTTTGGAAGGTGAGAACTGAGGAAGTCAAATTAATGTATGGAGTCATTCATCCATGATGAAGAACCATCATGCAAACAGTTACAGTAAAACTTGTCTAATCCGGACACCACTCGTTCCATAGAAATTGGCTAGATAAGACAACACTCTGGATTAGAAAACATTGAAATGATAAATTTCCCAGAAGGGACTAAAAGTTTTCACCGTAATAGGCAAGATTTTTACACAACGTCCAGATTAGACAAGTTTCACTGCACATCTACCAGGGCAGAAAATAGACTAGAAGTCTACATAAACTAAATGCACATTGCTCTTGGGATTGTGAATGTATCTCAAGATAAGTGAGGTTACTATGGTCAATATATCAGAGTTTTTGTAAAACATTTATGGAAATACATCAGGGACTAAGTACAGACCTTGACATAAGTCAAAATGCCAATGTTAGCCTGTGCGTTTATGCCATACACACAATGTGATGCATGGCCACTTTGATGTCATACTCTAGTCATGTATCTTTCCATATTCATGCTTTTTAATTTGACTGTTGCTATAATGAAGGGCACATGGTTTCATCATTCAGAGGGTAATACTGAGTCAAGTTTAGCAAGGAAAATATAAAGAACAGAAAAATATACATGTATTTTGCAGTTGAAAATGTAAGAGATAATCATCTGGGTTTTTTTTAATGGTTTTTTTTTTGTTTTATGGGGATATTTACATGCACATATATATGTGCATTAGAATACATGGTATTTCATGCCTGAAAAGCTGCAATGTATATATATCGTAAACAAAAATAACTAGACAGTTATTTCTTATATACATTGTTAATTATTTTATTTATTTTATTTTACATTATAACAGAACTCTAGTCTAGAAGAAATCCAGACCTTGTTACGCAGTGTCAATCCTGATGTCACTTTCTTCCTTGCCGAAAAGGGAAATGTGAAAAGGTGGGTTACCGTACTACTCAAATATTAGTCTTCCTATATTATAAGCATGTAGGATATTTCCGGCTTTTTAGTTTGTGTATACACGTACTGTATATTTTATTTCTTTGTATAATTCCTTTTTTTAACAGGAGCATGGATGTAGATGCCATTTTGTCCGAAACAGCTTTTATGGAGAACAAAAAAGTGAGAGCTAGAGAAATGCTTTGTCCAGGATGGTAAGTGTTGTAAAACTAAATAGAATTTATGGACTTAAGGCTGTATCTCATTTCTTGGCTTTTCTGTGGTCAGAGTCTTAAACAAAGTTGCTTTAGATAAAAATTTAAAATGTTAGGAACCAAAAGATTGTGAAATAATGCTATTGAGTGGGTTTATTTTTCAACTTCTAAAGGTCATTAATGTGTGGCATACTGTGGAATTTATACTGTGTTACATCTAGCAATATATGGGAAACTATACTAGTACATCAAACAACTAAGGAGCCTTAAATCATATTTTCACATGTTAAGTTTGCATAAAAGAAGTATCTTCTAGTTTCGTGACCTCATTTTACTGGAAAATATTTCTCTCCACGAAGTATTTATTTAAATGTGCATTTACATGTACAAAGAATGTTTAGAAATGTTGCAAAAATTGATAGTCATGGATGGATTTCAAACTGTGGAATCATGGATAAAAGTTGTCACAATAATAGTTGGTTTACAGTATAGTCTGAAAGTTATAATGATTTACAATATGTTATAAATTCACAACAGGTGTGATATAGGGATTTTCTTTTGTAATGTATGGCTAAGTCTTCACTTAAATGAAATCCACATGCTTAATTTGAAAACTGATCACAAACCTTTTTGGCATGGGAAAGATTTAAAATGAAATGTTTGCATCAACCTGGTATATTTTTAGCTCACCTCAATGAAGTTGGGGGAGCTTATGTAATAGCGTCGGCGTCACTTCTATGGCCTATATTAGTCAGAGATGCATGGAGGATGCTTCTAGTGTGTTTCATTGTACCAGTCAAGGTTTCAGATGCTGCAATTTCAGCTAAAGAATGACCAGGTTAATGTTTTTGGAGCAGGTTAAAGTTTTTGGAGCAGGTTAAAGTTTTTGGAGCAGGTCTCATTTCCAAGTAACTATAAGCCCTATATTGACCAAACTTGCATGGATGATACATCTAAGGATGCACACTACTGGACTTGCTTCGGATGCTGGATCTGACCTACATTTTCCGGATGAGTGACTAGGTTAAGGTTTTTGGAGTAGATCTCATTTTCAAGTAACTATAAGCCCTATATTGACCAAACTTGCAGTGATGATACATCTAAGGATGCAAACTACTGGACTTGCTTCGGATGCTGGATCTGACCTATATTTTCCGGATGAGTGACCAGGTTAAAGTTTTTGGAGCAGATCTCATTTCCAAGTAACTATAAGCCCTATATTGACCAAACTTGCATGGATGATACATCTAAGGATGCACACTACTGGACTTGCTTCAGATGCTGAATCTGACCTATATTTTCTGGATGAGTGACCAGGTTAAAGTTTTTGGAGCAGATGTCATTTCCAAATATCTATAAACCCTATATTGACCAAACTTGCATGGATGATACATATAAGGATGTACACTACTGGACTTGCTTCGGATGCTGGATTTGACTTACATTTTCGGGATGAGTGACCAGGTTAAAGTTTTTGGAGCAGATGTCATTTCCAAGTAACTATAAACCCTATATTGACCAAACTTGCATGGATGATACATCTAAGGATTCACACTACTGGACTTGCTTCGGATGCTGGATCTGACCTACATTTTCGGGATGAGTGACCAGATTAAAGTTTTTGGAGCAGATCTCATTTCCAAGTAACTATAAGGCCTATCTGAACCAAACTTGCATGGATGATGCATCAAGGGACGAACAATCTCAAAACTTGCTTCGGATGCTGGATTTGACTTACATTTTCTGAATGAGTGACTAGTTTTAAGTTTTCAGATAAGTCTATTACCAAGTAACTGCAAGCCCTATCAGACCAAAATTGCATAAATGTTGCATCTAGGGATGCACACTCCTAGATTATTAGTTTAGTGTGGGACTTTGCCTTACTTAAAGACAACATTCGTTGAGGTGAGCTCTGTAATCTCTGATTACCTATGTTTTTATTTAGGTCTCAGGGACTGTACAAGACACCTCCTCTCTCATTTACCATGCAGGACACAGAACTGACCTTCTCACAACCCCTAGTGAGGAATGTCTTCATCAACAAACTCAGGGGTAATTCTTCTAAATGTTTTGATTGTGCATTTCTTGATTGAAAAAGATGTAAAAAAAAAAAAAAAAAAAAAGGAATTGAACTGCAAATTGATTTGAATTTAATTTTGAAATACAATGTATATAAAATGTCAGCTTTTGTATTCATTGTAATTACTTGTACATTTGTATGCAGTTTTAGGAGAATGTCAGTAAATTTATTGACTTAAATTTGCAATAATTTCTTTAAGGACTGAAAAGCCAGTTGACTCACTATCCATTCTCAGGAAACATCTTTTTGGTGCAAGGATATGTGTCCTTTACAGGTAAATTATACTTGGCATTAAAATAGACAGTCAATTTAATTTTCACAGTAATATTTGATTTTTCAACTTATTTGATTTTTCAACTTGTGTGTTCTAGCACTAAAACACTGCTGTGTGAGATGTCACTGTTTTATTTCTGCTCTATAACAGATTCGGAGGAGTTAATGGATGTTCTGTACAATGTGAAATCTGACCACTTGGCAGTGACCAAACACATGGACAAGCCCAACATTAATGGTGATGGTCATCATCTTTCTCGTAATAAGTACTGCTTGGTGTTCACTGGACCCAAGTTACAGGTCAACCAGATCAAAGACTGGCTTAGGACTTGTGGAAGACAAGTGAGTGTGAAGTCAGCTGATGATAGATCATGAGGAATTTACGACTTTTGAAGGGGGGACAATTGAAACCAATACTAGTATTTGGTGAAAATTTAAAGTGTTATCATAAGGCAAGAGATTTTGTTCTGAGTAAATTGGTTTTTCCTAGTGCTTTTGAGGATTCATTTGTAATGGGTTTTGAAGTATTTTTAGAGTCTTGAGTATGTGAAATTGATAGCCATAAAAATTCTTGAGGTCCCAGGCACCTTAAACTTCTTTGAATCTTTCTGCTAAATTGAATGGATAAATATGACTGATATGTTTGCCTTATTTTGTGATTTCATTTGACTTCAGAAACCAGAGCTGAAGAAACCAATAACAAAAAAAGACCTGACAAAAGAGGAAATCAAAAAGATTCATGTAAGAACTTTTTTTTCACAGTGGGAATTAGGTGTTAAAATGTGTGTTAATTGTTATTCTGTGGCAATATGATGTTGTAAAGCAAGACATGTACATTTGTCAGTGGCTTTGTTTCTTGTGCAATTTTATAATTTTATATGTTTACAAGGGACTACAGGTTGATTTTTAGCTCACAAAAGGCAAAAACTGGATTTTGATAGTTGTATGTGTCTATTCTACAGAACCACTAGGCTAATTTCAAGCACTCTTTGCCACAAATCTCCATTAGATGATGGGGATTCAAGTTAAATTCATATGAAAAGCCACACCTCTTTTTCTAGGGGGGATAATTAAGAAATAGTTAAAATAGGATGTGGTCATTTTAAAATCTACTCAACAACCACTGAACCAGAGTAGATAAAACTCATGTGAATTACCACTGTTTAATACATTATAGCATAGATTCAGTTTGTTTAAATTCATGGTTTCAGGAGGTAGGGTGGGATAACAGTGGGAGTCAGAGTTTTATATATGGGATTGTGTAGGAAAAATCTCTCAAGAACAGCAGGATCACAATCAGTCATTTTGAAATACCAGCATTCTCATTAAAATAGATGCAGATTTAGTAAATTCATGGCTCTTGGGGCAAGGATTTTGCCACAATTGGAGAAGTTTTAAACACAAGAACACAGGGTCTACAAATCAAAGATTTGACATTCTGCAGCCTCAGTATAGTGTAAAATAAATTTGTTTCAATCATTTAATTTGGTGACCATTTACAGTATCTTTATGTAAATATTTGTTTGCCTTGAAGATACATACAGTATGTATATATTTTGAATACTTGTATTTTCTTCATCAGAAACAGCACCATTTGGACCCTTTGCCAGCTGGATGGTTCTACAATGGAACACAATTTGTCAGTTTTGATGGAGAAAAACAGGATCTTCATCCAAGTAAGCCAGCCCTCAGAGCAGGGAATTTAAATTCAACTGGCCAAGTAGAATACCCAGTATTTCACAATTTTCATTATGTGTCTTAGAGATACATATCATACATGCTCACTATTCACTGTTCACTATAACCCCCCCCCCCCCACATACACACACATACAAACCAATTCCAGTCACTGGCTTGTCCTGTTTAGGGACTCTTATTCATCATTTTAGGTCTGGAGACATTTATCCAAGAATACATTGACAGCAAGAACAAAGAAATACAAGAATACAATGACACAGTGAGAAAGAATGCCAGCCAGTATGTTGATCTGTTTGCCTGAATTAAGGACTTCAAATGTTTCACTTACTTTGCATTGTTTGACTATTACCAATTGAGTTCATTCCCCATTGTCTGGAAGAATGTGATGGAAGACTGAGATCTGTTAAGTTATTGTTGACTGATTCTGGTGTTGTTTCTGAATTTTCTTCATAAATGGAATTCTGTAAGATTTGATTCCATGTTCATTGTGTGTTTACTTATTGACATTAAAGTATTTGAGTGCTATAAGAAAAATTTCAGACATACATGTTTTCAGTGTTATTTCAATTAAGGTATTCTTTTTTGTGACTCAGTCCACGTGCTTATTAAGAAATCCGTTGATGTTTATGCATTTAATGCTAAGATTGTTACTGCTTTGTGTTACAATATGCAACTGTGCAAAAACCAGAAGTGTTTCTAGGTTTTCTAGATTTTTTTTTATAAAAATTAGTGATACTGCTTAATAAATTGCTTTTTTGTAATTTAAATATCACAACGTTGTATAGATAAGTACATCCGTCCAATCTATATACAAGAATATTCATCCAAAAAGTGATGTGATATCTAGCGTAACCATAAGAATAAGAGTTTTTTTGTTTTTTTTTTTTAACTTAAAAGTGATATTTATATATGAATATGCTTGAAAATAGATACCTTTAATAATGTCAATGAGAGAAAAGGGAGAAATGTTTGCTGTTGTTGATTTGAACTGTTTGCCAATTTTTAAAGTGCTTGTTAGAAATATTTTAATGCTCAATACTTTTCTGTCAAATCTGTATTTAAAATCATCTACATTACTGATAGATTAAAGCTGATGTATCTGGTAAGCTGAAAATTCTAATTTAAACAGTACATGTCTTATATAGGAAATTCTATTGCTGTTTTTAGGTCACCTGGGTCACTCAGATGACCGTTTACTATCTGTTTTCATCCGTCATTGTGCAACATGCTTCTTGTGTCAAAAAGTGCTAACATTTGAATATTTTCAGCTTCTTTTCTAGAACTGCCAAACCAAGCACTTCCAAAATTATAAAGTTCATGGCCCCAGGATTAGGAGTTTTGGTGTAAGTGCAGGGCTCTCTAGATCATATAATGAAAATGCATAAATTCTTCTTTTTTTTTTAATTTGCTGATTGGTATTTAGTGAACAGATTTCATAGTGATGAAAAGCAAGGGTGCCTCATCCAAAATTGAAATTCATAGCCCCTGAGTCAGGATCAGTTTTGGTGTAAGGGCAGGCTATATTGATTATACAGCAAAACTTGGTTATAATGAAGTCACTGGGATCTGTAAAATTATTTCACTATATCCATAATTTGTTACATCCATATAAGGAATTCATAAACTGTTTATTGCTGGGGATCCAAAAAAAGTTCACTTTATCAATGAATCTGCAAAGTCCATGTTCTCTCTAAACAAGGTTCACTGTATAATAGTGAAAATGCATTATTTCTTTGCAAATCTTCTTCTCTCCTTGGGTATTAGCAAACATACTAAGTACTTGGTTATGATGAGCAAGGGTACCTCTTCCAAAAATTGTGAATATCATGGCCCCTGGGTCAGGGATTCTAGTGTTAGGGTGGGGCTCTAATAATTATATAGTGAAAATGCATTAATTGAAAATCTTCTCTGCTCTTTAGCATTTAGGAGGCAAACGGAGTACAAAGTTGTAATGAGCAAGAGTTTTCTTATCAGATTTTTGAAATTCTGGGACCCCTTTGTCGTGTTCTGGTGCTGGGAAGGGCTCTTATAGATCTTAAGGAAATTTGTACTCTATTGAGAGAAGTCATTCCCATTAATTATTCATGCACCTTTGATAATTAATCAATGTAAATGTTGTAATTGGTAGGTCAGTTGAATAAAAAAAGTCGTACACAAATTTTTGTTACAAAAAGTACTTTGTTTTTAATGGTCAGATAGACTTGTAAATAAAAGATAAATAAAAATTAGAAATACTTTTTTGTACATTAAATGTTAAGGAGGGATTCTTGTCTGGTTTCTGATTAGATGAAATATTCAAAGTATATTTGCTTATATGTTTTAAATATTTAGATATAAGAGATTTAAAAGATCATATTTTTCTTTCCTCATCACAATTGTACAACTTTAAATAGAAATGGTAAACTGAGTTTGAAATCTAGCAGGGACTATATTTTTGGCAGAATGGCGGCGTATGAAAATATCTTCTTTTCTGCCCCTCAAAATAATTATAGAACAATGAATTTAGTTATAATTTTTACACAATCAAAGACTTGGAGAAAAATTTTAAATGTAAGTTAAATTAATAATAAGGGACTGACTAAAGTTTTAAAATATATCAAATAAATATGATTTTCCAAACAAACTACAATTACGTTAGCTTTTAAAAGCCTCCAATCTAAGTTCAGATTTGAGTCAAAAATTCCCTTACCAAAAATACTGCCTTTCTGCAAACATTTGCTGCAAGTCTGCAGCAAACATTGCTGCAAACCTGCTGCAGACATTGCTGCAAGCTTGCGGCAATGAAGCTAAAGAAACCATGACAGCCTATACAAAGCTTCTGTGTTTGCAGCAAGTTTGCAGCAGGTATGCAGCAAGCGTGCAGCAAACATTTTACCATGCAAACGAGGTTTGCTGCAAGTCTGCAGCAAACATTGGATTTTCCAAATATGGAGACCTTGCTGCAAGCTTGCAGCAAACATTGCTGCAAGCTTGCGGCAAACATTGCTGCAAGCTTGCGGCAAACATTGCTGCTAATTTGCAGCAAGCAATATATTTATTGTTTTCAGCACATTCCTGCATACAAGCAACAAGTTCCCAGAAAGCCTTTGTCCTGACCTTAATCTGTTAATTATAGAGAAAATCCACCATATGTGTCTGAAATGATGCAAGTTTCTGAATTGTTGACAGTCTTTCTTTTTGTTCCTAGACAAGGTTCCCATACTTTTCTTAATTCAAATGTAATATACATGTACAGATGTAATAGACATGTACAGAAAAAATTAAGAACCCTTGCACATAACTCTCTGTACACACAAATTTTAAAAATTTTTTACAGTTAATACTAATTTATTTGAAAACGTATAAACATTTATAAAAATTGGTTTTGAACCTTTAATACATTTAAAGAAACATACAAATGTGATATTAAGATAAAGATTGAAATTCATAAGTAGATTTAGATTTAGCAAGTACACCAGTTTTTCAAGAGATAATTGTTTCATATTAAAATAAAACAAAATCAGATCTTACCAATTAGATGTTTGTATGCCAATGTACTCCTACATCCATAATTATGCTTTTGTAATCATTCAAAATGGTATATATTCCTAACAAAATACTAAAACATCTACAACTTCAATTCAAACATTTCAAAATGGCGAATTCTGTATTGACCTCAGTACAGTCTGCAATTCATTGGCTGATTTGTCTTGTTTACTGTTCTTGCGAACTTCCTGCAAACATTCAATTTGTTGAATGTTTCCTGCAAATTTGCTGCGAACAACAGATTGGCGTTTATGTTTCTTGCAATGTTCCTGCAAACATGTTGAGTTCCTGCGAATTTGCTGCAAGCTTGCAGCAATTGCTGCAATGTTTGCCGCAAGACCGCATCTAGCGGCAATCATCTGCGAACAAGAAAATTTTCTTCCTGCGAACAATTTTGTTTGCTGCAAACTTGCAGCAGACTTGCTGCAGGTCTGCAGCAAACATAACAGTTTGGTAAGGGTTGATAAAAAGTGTTTTTTCTCTCTTGGTAAACGGTCAAAACTTTTTGTTTTTATATCATTTTGTATCTTTATGTGACAACTTTACCCTATGTGAAAATAAGAAAAATTTAAATATAGGAAGCATATAAAAATTACTAAAATATCTTAAAATTTTAAGAAAAATAGAGAAAATTCGGATTAGCCAATATCCATTTTAGTTAAATTATTTATGTCAATTTGGTAATATCATCTTATAGACCCTATATGTTTATATCTCTTTATGCAAAAAGAAAAACATTTAATTTATTGAAATAGAAGTAGGTATCTCATGATTGGCAACACTAAATTTTTATTCTTAATGTCCAGGGAAAAAGTACTGACCTTGACCTGACCTTGCCTCTAATAAAAAATGGCCAAATTTAATCTAACTGATACCATCACTTACTGATATTGTCTTCTTGATTCTGTGAAAATTTCATTGATTTTTAAATATAAGAAATAGGTGTTCTTATGAGAAGAATCCCTCCTTGAGACAGAATGCAATGGGTTTCAGTACTTCATCTGTTCAAGCATTATTGCTATGATTAGTCTCTGACAGATGGGTGTTCTGCACTGACAAATGGGTGTTCTGCACTGACAAATGGGTGCTCTGCACTGACAAATAGGTGTTCTGCACTGACAAGTGAGTGTTCTGCACTGGCAAATCAGGAAAGTATAAAAGATCTACTCCATGATTTACTACATAGTACTACTTACTATATTGTTGACCCTGATCATCCTTGATCTCTCTTGCTTTTGGACAACATATCTTCATCTATCAGTTTATTTTATTATATACTTTCATGGATCCTTTACAGTGTTGTATTATACTCAGGTGACATTTAAGGCCCTTGGGACTCATGTTTTTTTCCTTAAATATCATTGGAACATATGACAAGTAACATTAGAGTGTACATCTTGAAATCATCAAAAATTTAAAGAAATTTCATATACATGTTCAAATTAAATTTTTGTTGCATAATGTTAGTGTTTCGTAATATATTGAAATGCATTGAACCAATGTTTGGAAAATAAAATGTTTGTTTAAATTGTATTCCCTGTTTGAGTGATATAAATTGCTAAAAATATTTAGTGTTATCTTGTTTTTGCAAGTATTTGGAAATATCAGGTACTGAAACAATTGCAAGACTGTTTTGAAACTGCTTGAATCTTTGTGAAATATTTTGAAGATAAACTAGAGAAACTGTGAGCACTGAGATCACAAAACGATACCCCCGCCTCCCATACGATTATAATGGCAAAGTCCATATTTTGCTATGGGAAATCCAAAATAGGTGTCCAATCAAAAAGTAAAATAGGAGGTCACAATGGCACTGTGTAACAAAGATTCTGTGAAAGTATCATTAAATCTTATTCAGTGGTATAGGAGAAGTTGCGGATAAAAGATGTGTACCCCTTCAATATTATTGAAAAATGGCAGTGTCTCTGTTTTGCTACTTGAAATATGAGTCTAATCAAAAAGTAAAATAGGAGGTGCACAGTGGCACTATGTAACAAAGATTCTGTGAAAGTATATCATTTAATTTTATTCAGTGGTATAAGAGGAGTTGCAGATATTTTAGAGATGTGTACCCCAAAGCGTAACAGACTGATGGACAGACCGGATGGACACCCCCATCACTATACAAGTGGGGGATATAATGACAGAATAAAATCAAATAAAAATGAAACAAAATATTTTGGATATGTTCAATGTACAGGTATATATATCTGTACAACTTGAATTGTTGTGATTTTTCACTTCTTTAATGTTTGAGTTCAGTGGGTGATCCTCACTGAAGGTCATATATCTTGAATTCTTTCTCACAGAGTGAGAATATGTTTGTTTCTTTGTTGCTTTTGTTTTTATTTATTGATTGATTGATTTTATTTTATTTTTTGCTGATGTAAGTATAAGCGGATCCCCCGTCTTCCCCTGCTAGACCTCTGATCATCACTAATTGACCTTGATTACCCATGCAGTGACCTTGACATTGAAATATGGCCATGAGTTAGATCATTTGACATATATCTAGGTCACTTGCAACAATATAAACCTTGATTTCATTGCAATAAAGGGATTAAAAGTTATGGCCCAAACATGAAAATTTGGCACATGTACAGCATCTACAAAAATACTTATATGGCATGTATATGTTGCAACATGTAAAAAGAATTTTTTGCACTGGGGGGGGGGGGGGGGTCTGACCCCCCACCCCTGGAATTTGCAGAGTTATTAAAAGTATATGCTGATGCAAATAAAAAATGACTTTCTTTGGACTCCTCTAGAAATGTTGGACCCCACCATCACCACCAGGAAATAGGGTTTTTATTTCACCTTTGGGAAGTGAATTTTACACATTTTTTTTTGTTTGTTTGTTTTTTTTTTTTTTTTTTTTGTTTTGTTTGTCAGGAAATTTTATGGGATTAAAATGTTTGGGAAGGGAATTTATTTTTTTATTATTATTATTACTTATTTGTTTTTGTTTTTTGTTTGTCTGGTTGGTTTTTTTTGGGGGGGGGGGATGTTTGTTTGTTTGTTTTTTGGTGTTTTTTTTTTTTTTTTTTTTTATTGTCATGACAAGAAATTTCTGGGTAGGATTTTTTTTTGGACTGCAGTGGAACCCCCCCTCCCCCCCCCCCCCCCGGAAAAAAAATCCTGGATCCACGCCTGTACAAACAGCTACACATTTGGATGAGCAAACGACATTGAGCTAAATCGATTAAATTGTGAACGAATAGTATAGCGATCGACTTGTCCTTGAAAGCGCCATCTCGTGTTTCGCGCCATAATTACAAGAGATGGCGCCAGCACCAGAGAAGAATGAACCAGCAGATGATCAAGATGATACTGCAGGTTTGCTTTTAGTATATCAAAATTTGGATTGAAAGTAAAATGACAAGAGTTTCGTATGGAATACATGACAACTATTCTGTTGCGGATAGATAGTGCGTTATTTTCTAATTTTTTGGGTGAGATCGAAAGGTTTCTGAAATATAAACAAAACATCGCATGTTTAAGTACGAAAAAAAAATGTAAGATTTTTTTTTTTTTTAGTGGAACAAGGATTAGCAAAGTCTCGCTCTCGCAGAGAAAAGAAAGATAAAGGAGGAAGATTTGCAGCTCTCGAAAGATTAAAGAAAACCAAACAAACTGGAGAAAAACACAAATATGACGTATGTGATCCTGGTGTAGCTGTTTTAAAGCTTTTTCAGTTATTGGCATTGTTTTTAGTTGATTTTTATCATAATAGATATAAATTATGTGGTCTTGAAATATAAAAGCAGTAGACGAATTTCACATTTTTAAGAGTTATCTCCCGTTGTCGGCGTAACACTCATTTTTATCACTATATCCTTTGTAACTTACCTGTAAATATTTTCAACCTTCAAACAGAATCTGACAATTTTGACCCATTTCTGAATTGCCTTAGTATGGGGCAACGTGAAAAACATAATAAACATATTCAAATGGATTTAATTTGCGAGATATTGCCCCCAAAAGTTGGAAATGTTGTAGAGGGAAAACTGTGTCTTACGCGGGTTGACCCCAGATTGACCCTGAAAAGGGAAATAACTTCCTTAAATGTGAAATTCCTCTTTATTTTGAGTGAGGGTAGTAAAATGTGACAGGACATAGCTTGCTGAGCCCTCCATCATGTTTCCGACCCGAACCTAAATATTGTCTTTCGACTTGATAAATAGATAAAATTCGCAATGAAGAACTTTAAAATTTGTATAAAATATTCACTTGTGCAGCATGGAGCGGACAACTGTAATTAATGGGCATTACACTTTGTT